TTTTGTACAATATTTAATCAATATTTTACTTGTATTTAAGGAAATTTACTAATTTCATGCATTAAAACGCATTCCAAAGAGGTTAAAAATCCTTTTTAAGAGAGATTTATGAGAAATAAAGTGAATAACATTATAAATACTGTATGCCAGGAATCCATGGATTTTTTGCTGTGTATCTAAATGAGGAATTTAACATTTAGTGATCGTAGAAAACCAAGAGGTTTCCTTTCTTTTTTCTGTCATAAAAAGCATCAGCCTTAACGATAACTATCTAAAGTAGAGACATAAAATGTTAATGCATCAAACATAGGGAAGCCAGTGGCATTTGAACGTGCCAAGCACCTCTCAGGATTAGTCTCATTCTTTCAGGACATAGAGAACAAGAAGTGATTGGGCTTAAACTGCAGCCAGGGAAATGTAAGAACATTTCTAAGGGTTCTATAGAGCTGTATGACACCTCCAAGTTCCCTGGGGGATTCATTCTAACCAGGGTTCAGAGCCTACAAAATACAACCCCCCACACAAAGCTTCACAGACCCTTTCATAGACGCCCTCCTATTCACCTTCTTCCTCTTTCCCCGCATTTCCTCCCATTTGGAAGCACCAAATAGAAAAGTTGAGGTGAGTGAATGAAGAATGAGAATCCATGGGGAGAAGGACATCCATAGAGCAACAGGGAGCTGTGACAGGGCAGTGAGCTGTCCCTCTCATCTCCCAGTCAGTGCCTCTATTTCAACTGTCTCTGTTGTTGGAAGGTGCTGGTCTTCTCACCTGCTACTGTTCTCCACAGAGAAAGGTCAAGGGGTCCTTGATGCTTCTCTGCCGAGAGTGGACACAAAGAGCGGGCACATCACCCTGACTGCCACCTCACACCTATTATTTCCCTGCTATGTTCTTGCCATTCACACAGAGAAGTTAGACAAAAACAGTTAGAGCCACAATTGATAATGGCTTTAATTTCTCCTCTATGATTTATAAATATACTGTGGTTAAGGGTACACACTGTATGCTACTATTAGAGTTTTAAAGATGGTATTAGATTCTATTGATCTATTGATCTAGACAATCTT